TTTTTTATTATTATTATTTTAGAATATTTGCATATACTGAATGAGATATCTTGGAGATGGGACCCAAGTCCAAACATTACATTCATTTATGTTTTGTATATACCTTCTACACATAGACTGAACATATAAAATATTTTATATACCATATTTTTTTAAAAAAATTGTGCATAAACAAAGTTTGTGTACATGGAACCATCAGAAAGCAAATGTGTCACTATCTCAGCTACTCATGTGGACAATTTGGGATTTTGGAATATTTCAGATTTCAGAATTCTGGAAAAGGGAGACTCAACCTGTATAGTTTTTCTCTAGCTTTCTGAATGACTATGGATCCTGACCTAATGTTCTTTGGCCTTTAAAAAAAGCCACCAATTATGATGCTTGTCAGTGCCATCTGCAGGAAACCTCTCAACTTCCTCTCCCACTCTGGCAACATCTGCACTGTAGAAAAAATCCAGTTTGACACCACTTTAACTGCCATGGCTCACGGCTATGGAATTCTGGGAACTGTAGTTTTCAGAGCTCTGCTCTGGTGCCACAACAAACTACAGTTCCCATAATTCCATAGCCTTGAGCGTGTGATAGTTGAAGTGGTGTCAAACCGGATTATTCTTGCAATGTGGATGCTGCCACAGTCTCTTGGTGTGTATCTGGGCTAGTTTGGTAACTATCTCTGTTTTTTCACAAGCGATGCTGCAATGAACACTTTTTAGAGCCTCATTTGTTAATATGTATAAAAAAGGGAAAAGATCTGTGTGCAAGTAAGAAACACATCTGTTTAAACAGAGGGAAGAGAAGGAAAACAGAAATTTTGTATCTTCAACAAAGACCAACTTAATTCAGGAGAAACTTTTGTGGACTACAGTCCAGTTTTTCACATGCATTTGAAGAAGTAGGTTAAAGGCTACAAAAATGTATGCTGAAATAAATTGGCTAGTCTTAGGACGTTATCACACAGAGCCTAAAGCAGTCCCATCCCCGTGGCATCCCCGTCCCATTGCGGTTCCTTTTCAGTCCAGAACTTCCGGCAAAAAGAAAGCAGCATCATTCCGGTATCATTCTGGTCGCGGCAGAAATGTAATTCCCAAAAGAATCCGGCATTCAAAAGAACGGGGATGATGCCGGATGATGCCGCAATGGGACGGTGATGGGACGGGGATGGGTGCGACGTCGTGTGAAGACACAGGGAAAAGAACCGCAATAGGACGGGGATGGGATGGGGATGGGCGGGGTTTCTCTGCGACGTCGTGTGAACACAGGGGAAAAGGAAGCGGAATGGGACGGGGATGCGACGGGGATGGCACTGCTTTAGACCCCGTGTGATAACGTCCTTAAAGGTCATACAAGACTCCTCCATACCCCGTTCCCCTTTTAAAATACTGAAGCAAACTAAGTTGGGACATGCCAACTCTTTGAAAACCGCTACACTTAAAATTTCAGTTTTATCTTGGAATGACATGCACCTAGCAAAGCTGTCAAAAATTGTGCAAAATACTTAGCTGGTATCTCTTAGGCAAAACCATCAGCAGGGAATTGACCATATTAACCTCCCAAAAACAGAAGCAGGAGGGGGATTATTCAGACCACTTTACTTAGCTGTGGTTCTACTTAACTTCAAGAAAGGCTTTCTTCCTAGTGTGGATCTGATTACAAATTAGAGAAATTGAAAGCAAACTCCTGGTTTTCAAAAGTTCCTGAAAGAGACTGAGGAATCGAAAGAAAGGGCTCCAGCAAACCTATTACTATTATCGTTGTTGTGTGCCTTCAAGTCTTTCTGACTTATGGTGACCCTAAGGCAAACCTATCTTGAGGTTTTCTTGACACGATTTGTTCAGACGAGGTTTGCCATTGTCTTCCCTGAGGCTGAGAGTATGTGACTTGCCCAAGGTCACCCAGTGAGTTTATATGGCTGAGAAATAATTCAAACCCTGGCTCCAGAGTTCTAGTCCAACGCTCAGACCACTGCATCACATTGGGTCACACTACTTCACTTCAAAAAAAGGCTTTCTTCCTGGAGTGGATCTGACTACAGGTTAAAGAAATGAAAGGCAAACTCCTGGTTTTAGAAAGTTCCTGGAAAAGAAGGAGAAAATTGAAGGAAAAGGGCTCCAGCAACCCTATTACCATTTTTGTTGTTGTGCGCTTTCAAGTCTTTTCTGACTTATGGCCATCTTAAAGGGAACTTATCATGGGGGTCTTCGGAGCTTTGAAAGTTTGCATGGAGCTTCAAAAGCTTGCAACAAGTATATTGTGCATTTTGGTTGCACAATATACTTGTCGAAAGCTAGATAAAGGTATCACTGATGGATTTTTGTTTGATTTATCATGGCAGGATTTGTTCAGAGGAGGTTTGTCTCTGAGGCTGAGAGAGTGTGACTCAGCCAAGATCACGCAATGGGTGTCATGTGGCTGAGTTGGAAATCAAACCCTGGTCTCCTCAAAGAAGAAATATATCTATTCAAAAGAGGGGAGGAATTATTATGATGATGATCATGATGATGATCATCATCATGATCATTTCATGGCTAGCTTGCCTTTTCTCCCCCCAGCCTTGGGACTCCAGGAACCTACCTCATTGAGGACAGAGAGGGAGGAGAGGTTCCCCACCACATTGTTGAGCTGGTTCTCCTCAAAGCTGGCACTCATGGAGTCAAAGGATCTCCCTCTTCTGGGACCTTCCATGCGGCTGGAGTACATGATGATGGATGGGGAAGGCAGGTTGCAAGAGGCTGGGCTGCTCTGCTTGCTAGCTTCCAGCTTCCTGGCTATTTATGGACAGGAGAAAGGCTGGGGTGGGGGGAAGGAGGAGGAAAGCCTCTCCCCTTAATCTCCTGACCAGCAAGAGGGGAGGTAAGGAGGGGAAGAGGCCACATCACTTTGCCTTTCTCTGTCAGAGGGTAGAGCCCTGGCATGAGAAACCTGAGTCCCAGGGAGCCCCTGGCTCAGATCTTGTGCCTTATATTGCAGCATCTAAGCTCAGTGTGTCTTAACTGCAGATGTGTCTTAACTGCAAAGGACAAAGACAAGCCCCTCCAAAATGGAGGACCTTCAAGCAAAATCATCATCATCATCATCATCATCATCATCATCATAAAGGAGAGCATTCCCAAATAAAAAGCTAAACTGATTTGGGACACTTGTTCAAGAAAAATGAAGAGCATGCCCAAATCAAAAACTAAATTTATTTGGCAGCATGAGCGCTTTGGTAGACATCAGTCTCCTTCCTCAGATGCATTTGGTGGAGTGGAGGCCAGGCACAGACATATATATGTGAGGATGTCAATTCAAGTTACAAATTCTTTGTGTATGGAAGTGGCAGGTCCAGTCTTAATGATGGTGTTAGTGCCTCCACTCTACCAAATGCACCTGAGGAAGGAGGCTGAAGTCTACCAAAGCTAAGGCTGCCAATTTCTTTCTTTCAGTTAGTCTCAAAGGTACTACAAGATCTCTCTACATACTGATTCTACAGACTAACACGGCTATATCTTTAAATTTCTTTGGGACATTTCTTCAAGAACAATGGAGGACATCCTCAAATTAAAAGCTACATTTATTTGGGACATTTATTCAAGAAAAATGGAGGGCATGCCCAAATCAAAAGCTCCATTTCTTTGGGACATTTATTTAAGAAAAAATGGACATTCCCAAATAAAAAGCTTAATTTATCTGTGACATTCCCAAATAAAAAGTAAAAACACTCATAGAAATATAAAGTTCATGCTTCTTAGTCCTGCTGAAAATGGAGGACATTTGGGAATTCCTCCTGGACAGAAAGCTGAAATGGAGGACAGGTCCTAGGACAAAAAGGAGGATGTCTGGTAATTCTGCATCTAAGGAGAGCCAGGGTGGTGGAGTGGTTTGAGCATTGGACCATGACTCTGGAGTTGTTGTGTACCTCCAAGCCATTTTTTACTTATGGCAACCCATAAGTCATGAGGTTTTCTTGGCAAGTTTCTTCAGCAGGAGAGTTGTCATTGCCATCCTCTGAGGCTGAGAGAGTGTGACTTCCCCAGGTCACCAAGTGGGTTTTTATGCTCAAGTCCCTGATCTCCAGAGTAGTAATCCAATGCTCAAACCAAGCTGGCCTTGTAGACCAGCGTTCAAATCTCCTCTTGGTCATGGCACCTTGGGTAAGTCACACTCTCTCAGCCTCAGAGGAAGGCAAAGGAAAATCCTTCCAAACAAACCCTGCCAAGAAACACACATGATAGGGTTGTCAAAAATTGGAAAGCACTTGAAGGCAGACAAACAACAAGATGTAAGGAGATTTCTTAGTTATAGCTGACTACTTCCCTAATTCTTTTTCTTTCTTGTCTGAGTGTGCCGCCTTTTTCCTTCTTGAGAGTATAGGACTTGAGATAGTAAGTTGGTCACCAGCTTCCCCTCTCCTAGTGTTCCTTATTTTTAAAAGTCCATTCATTTAGTCATTATACAGCAGGCAGAAATTCAAATGGTATACTAGTAGGTAGAATACTGGGGTTGCTTGTTGTTACTTCTGTTGACCTCTAACTATTAAAAATAATCTGAGAAAGTAGACATAAGTCTACCAAAGCTTATGCTACCAACTTCTTTCTTTTTCTCAGTAGTCTCAAAGGTGTTACAAGATCCCTTGACATGTTAAAAGTACAGAAACCTTACCGGAAGAAAGTAGCAATCCAAGTAATGAGTTGCTTCTTATTTCCCATTTTCTTCTATTAAGAAGTGCTAACAAGCAACTTTATACACACACACACACACACACACACACACATATATATATATATATATATATATATACACACACAAAAGGACAAACTGAAGATGATTGGAGCAAAATCAAGGTAAGGATTCTACTAGTTGTGTAAATCAGGCCCCATTGTTGTGTGCCTTCAGCTTATGGCTACCCTAAGGTGACCCTATCACAGGGTTTTCTTGGCAAGATTTGTTCAGGGGGGGTTGCCTTTGCCTCCCTCTGAGGCTTAGAGAGTATAACTTCATCAAGGTCACCTAGTGGGTTTCCATGGCCGAGCAGGGAGTCGAACCCGGGTCTCCAGAGTTGCAGTCTGACACTCAAACCACTACACCACACTCTATTTTCCCCCACTATTTCCACCAAATTGCACGCAAGCACTGAGGAGGGGGGTGTCCTTTATGTTATAATTCATCAATGATAACACTCTATTGATGATAAATCAAGGTGAGTGAGTGAGTGAGAGCCTTGTGACACCTCAAACATTAAACAATGAGATTTTGTGATCATCAGCCCAATTGACATTGTGAATAGGAGCACAATAAAAGTTAGACTTTGGTGGGTGTTAAAATCCTTGGCACCAGCCAGTCAGATGAAGTGGGAAAATCAGGAATCACTATGAACTTTGTAGTTGATCACTGGTGGGATCCCTATATTCAGTCTGAATCAGCTCAGTGTCAAGAGGTGGCTGGTAGCTTCTATGTCAGTGGGAGGGTGAATCCACTCTGGGTTTTAGTATGCATCTTACATGAGCTATCCAAGGTGCTGAACTTTAAAATTTAAGAAATTTAAAATTCAGACAAAAACCCAGAGAAGATTCACCATTCTACTGACATGGAGTTAGCAACCACCATTGTATAAAACTGCTCAATGACTCCTCTATTCATAATACAAAGGTGAGGCCTCATTCTGTGGCTCACAAAATCAAAGATAACCTTTCTTTCTCTTTTCAAAGAAGTGTGTTAGTCTCTTGCAGTATAAAAAGGAGTAATGGAAGGGGGAATGAGAAAAAAGGAGTGTGGCAGCTGTTTTAAGACTATTGTAACTGGTTTTTATTTTTGCATGAGCTTTCATGGATATAAACCCACTTCTTCAGATGCAGTTGTTGTTGTTGCATGCCTTCAAGTAATTTCCAATTTATAGAGAACCTATCACAAGGTTTTCTTGGCAAAGTTTGTTCAGAAAGGGTTTGTCTTTGCCTTCTTCTGAGAACAAAATGGCTTCAATCCTACACTCACTTATCTGGGGTTTACCCCATTGAACTCATTATGGCTTTCCACTGAATAAGACACATGTGGGAACACACAGTAGTTGTATGATTTTGGAATTAAGAGAAATGCAAGACATAGGACCTGTACAGACTGCCAGAAATAATCTAGTTTGAGACCACTTTAACTGTCCTGGCTCAGTGCTAGGGAATCATTGGAGTTGTAGGTTTTTTTCTGAGACATTTAGCCTTCTCTACCAGAGAGCTCTGGTGCCACAATAAACTACAGTTCCCATAGTTCCTTAGCACTGAGCCAGGACAGTTAAAGTGGTCTCAAGCTGGATTATTTCTGGCAGTCTGTATAGGTCCATAGTCTACGAGTAGCTGGGCTCCGACCAGAGCCAAATTCTCCCTTTTCAGAATCTATTGCATACCCAGCCACATAACAATATATTCTCTAAATACTATAGCAATTAGAAGAGCTGACTATGGGATGGGGAGAGGTGATCACAATGATCAAAGCCAAATTTATCTAACCACTTCCTCAGGTCATGAAAAAACTCCATGTGGTCTTGGAAAAAGCTTTCTGACATCCGTGTTTTCTTTAGTGGTTTTGATGGATTTGGAACAGGAACTCCTTTGTCATGCCACTTGCACCATTACATCATCTCCCCTTAACTACTACTCTAGCGTACAAGCCCAGGAAAAACCGTGCATACGCTTTTTGTGAGTATGTCAGATTAGTCAAACCAGGATGAAATTGCAAGGAACAATTTTCTTTATATAAGCTTTATGTAAACTTAATCTTTAGTTCAATGATACCCTAAAGCAGGGGTAGGCAATCTTTTTGAGCTGGGGGCCGGCTTGCTGTTCCTCAGACAATTGGGGGGCCGAAGCACAATAAATAAATAAATAAATAAATAAAAAATTAAAAAATATGCATGCACACTCTCTCAGCTCCAGAAAAGCCATGGCAAAACCCCAGTGGAGATTTTGCCAAGAAAACTCCAAGAACAAGTAATAACAATAATCAATATCATCATGGCGGCAGCGGCAGGACTGGCCTGGGACTGGTCCAAAGGCCTCAGGGGGGCGCATCTGGCCCCCGAGCCTTAGGTTGCCTACCCCTGCCCTAAAGCTTGGGTCACTAGTCAAGGGTCTGGTTAAGGGAGGGCAAAATAGGAACATAGCCCCTCAAATAAAAATTTGGCTCCTCTAAGTGAAATTTTCTTTCTCCAAATTTCTAGCATTGCAGAGAGTGAGATTTTGAAAACTCTTCACTCCTAGAATTTTGATATTGGCTGTGTTTCTGTTCCCTTGCTAACTTTGCCTGCTACTTTTCTTTGGAAACCTAAACTCTGTTTTTAAATGGTCAGTTGAAGTTTTAAGTTACCAAAATGCTAAAAATGTAACAACTGGAGAAAAATTGGCAATGCCTCATTCTGGCCTCCTGCAGCTCCACACCCTTGGGCCTAACCCTTTCTAAGAAGTTTGCACAAGTGGACAACCTGGAAGCCAGACTGATTCAGACACAGTCTTCTTTGCTGCAATGCAGTTCTCTTGTTTTATAAACTGCCAAGTTGATCAACCTCATCATGCTTCTGCTTCCTGTGGCCAGATACGAAGAAATGTATATTACTGTAATGTGGTGCTGGACTCCTTGTTGAACTCATTTTCTAGTTCTCATTGGTTTTCCCTATATGTTATAATGCTGTGTACTGTGTGAACAAGATAAGATCCTAAAGGGTAAAGATATGCAACTAATCATTAAAGTTAGAATCATCTGAGCCATTGTATTCCCCATCACCATGTACAGATGCAAGAGCTGGACAGCAAAGAAAGGTGACAGAAAGAAAATAAAGTTTTGTATTACAGAATGTGTTCTTGTTGATGTTGTTATGTGCCACCAAGACAACTCTAACTTATGGGGATTCTTCCATAGGGTTTCATTGGCAAGCTAGATTCAGAAGGAGTTTAATAATAATAATAAAAATTTATTTCTATCCCGCCCCTCTGCCAAAGCAATCAGGGCAGCTTACAAATTTAAAATATTACAATATGCAATCCCCAAAACCCCACCCACCCCTTAAAATAGCATTAATCATTAGACATTTAAAACATAAAACAATCAAAACAATCAAAATATCTAAAAATCATAGTAGCATAGTAGCATAGAGGGGGTTTGCCATTGCCTTCTTTGTACACTGAGAGAGTGTGTCTTGCTTGAGGTCACCCAGTGAGCTTCCATAACTGAATGGAAATTTGAACCATGGTCTCCTTAAGTCCTGATCTAGTTGAACACACTCTGCTTAGGAGACCGGCTGGTATTCTGCTATATGCTTATGATATTTGTGTAGCTCCTGTTCTTATCTTCTGGCCACTGTAGATACAGAGTAGAGCTGTTCTTCTCCTTTTGGTTCTGAAAAAGCTTCTCTGTTGCTGCTGTGACACTGAGCAAACTTCAGTTTATATAAAGGGGTCACCCTATTAATAATACAGGATAATAAATGTGCGGGGAATGATATGCTATCTTTCAATGTCTCGTGTGTATCCAAGTCATTACTATAGATTCTAGTTCTCCTCTCCCTCAGCATACTCTGCTCACTTTTTCATTACTGTTAATTTAGCTTTCCTTTAAATATGCTCCTGTCAACAGTGAGAAAATAGAGCTCCCCAAGACGTAATGTTTGTTCACTGATATGAAAATGAAGTGCAAACTAGTTACACACTACAGTAAACAATAGTAATGCGGACAATCACATCCTGCTGCACTGAGTCTTCCTCCAATTTCTCTGCAGCTGGTTGCAAAAAATGGCTAGGCTGGCTACGTGGAGAAAGAGTAAGATGGCCCCTGCTCTGTCCTTCCCATCCCATCCTTCATTCTAACCTAAATGCCTAAAGGGTACCAGATCCTGTCTCATCTTAGAAGCTGAGTAGGGTCAGTCCTGGTTATTACTTGGATGGGAGACACCAATGAATATCAGGTGCTGTGGGATATGTTTTAGAGAGGAAGGAACTGGCAAAACCACCTCTGTGTATTCCTTGCCTAAGAAAACCCTATGAAAGTTGACAGGTGAGTTGAAGGCACATACACACAGAGAGAAGTGAGGAAAGTATGGCCTGTAGCTTCAAAGGCTGCTCCAAAGTCCTTTCAGGTCTGCATTTAAAAAAAGCTGGACCAGAGAACAATTCCTCAGAATTACCTTTGAAAACTCCTTCTGGAGCAGCATTTGCCCTCTGCATCGACTCTGAAAGGGGGAGTTAGAGTGGTGTAGTGGTTTAAAGTGTTGGACTAGGACTCTGAGAGACCAAGGTTTGAACACCAGCACAGCCATAGAAACCCACTGGGTGACCTTCAGTTTAGACCCCTGCAACTGTCGCAGTTCTAATTCGCATTAATGACTCCCTGGGCAGAAAGAAAGAGAGTGGTGCTGGTGTTTTCCTGCACATTTTAAGCCAGGCGGTCTGTGGATTTATGAATACTTTCTTTCTGTTGGGTGTTTGTTTTCTATCAAGACACTGATATTTGCCCTGGATACTTTTTCCTTCCATTTTATTAGATGACCAGAGGGGACATTATCTAATTTCTGAATCACACACTAAAACCTTTTCTGAATGCTTGTTATCTCTGACTCAAGCATCCAGAGCTTTGTTTCCATATGCAGAATGCACCTCATTGTGGCTACCTTGTAGGTTATCCCTACAGTACAAGTGTATCTCTACTCACAAAAAAGTCCTATTGAGCTCAATAAGGCATATTCTCTGTAACTAGCATAGGCCTAAAGTACTATACCAATTTACCTGGAAGTAAGCCACAATGGACTCAGCAGGACTTGTTTCTAAGCAGTGGTGTTACCAAAGTTAAAACCTATTGCTTACAACATTTCAGATAGGATCTAAAGAAACACACAACCCAGACCATGTGGCTAAGCTTCCATGGAATGTAAACATATGAAATCTTTACTCCAAAATACACCCCACTCACTGTCTTCCATAAAGTTTACTCTAAGGTACAAGTGTTTAGGACTGCAGTCTAAGATTCTTTTTTCTTAAAGAGCAAAGCCCACTCAGAACTTAGAAAACTTAAATTTTGGAACTGTAACTCCAAGAATCTCTACAAGACATTTTTTTCCA